TCAGCTCAGAGATTAGTTCCAATTCTGTTCCAGTGATGCTGTCTCTTATGAATGGCTTTCTCTTTTCCCAAAGGTGATCCCTATGTCCCAGAAATCTAAACTCCTTCCTTCTACACCACCTCTGAAGCCACACATTTACATCCCTGGTCCAAAATGTGAAACTCGTGGCACAGGGAGTATTTCTGAGATTACTGCCCTGTGTTTCAACCTACTCCCTAACTCCTGAAGCTGATCCAGTATGAGCTCCCCCACTATGGTTCGTTCCCACATGAACCACAACCACTGGTTGCTCATTCTCCCTTTCCAGAAGTTTGTCCAGCTGTTCCATTGTGTCCCGAATCATTGCCCCGGGAGACAATAAACCATACAGCACTCAATATCTCACCTGCAAGCTAACCTGTCTATCCCTCAAACTATTGAGTCACCTATTACTACCATCCACCTAGTCGGCCTATCAGCCTCTATGTCTTTACCCAAAGTGACCTACCTCATCCATCCCCGACTCAGTTAAGTTGTTCACTAAACAGGCAAATAATTTCATACCTGTTGGAGAGCTGCAAGGAGTCCTGGGTTTCCTGGATCTGCTGTCTACTTTCCAATCGAAGAATTGTCACCCATTCAGCTGCAATCTCTATACTGTTCTTTGCCTGCCTATCACGATGTGAAGTGACCACTTTCAGGTACAACTGTTCCAGAAGATGATGGGGAGGCGATGGTTTGTGATTATCGCTATGCTTTTAATCCAGAGACCCAGATAATATTCTGGTGACCTGGGTTCAAATCCTGCCACGGCAGATGGAGGAATTTGAATTCAATAAATTACCTGGAATTAAGAATCTAATGATTTCCATGAATCCATTGTCAATTGTCAGTTGTCAGAAAAACTCATCTGGTCCACTAATATCCTTTAGGGAAGCAAACTACCATCCTTACCCGCTCTGGCCTCCATGTGATTCCAGACCCACAGCAATGTGGTTGACTCTGAACTGCCCACTGGGCAATTAGGGATGGGCAATAAATGCTGCCTAGCCAGCAACACCCTCATTCCGTTAATGAATGAAGGAAAAAAAGCTTTCCTCCCTCTTATATGGTGCACTGAGGGGACAGTCATTGCTCCAAATCAGCTACATGTTGTTCAAGGGCTGCTACCTTCTGGCACTTCATGCAGATGTGACTGTTCTGGATGTCTTATGGATCCAGAACCTCCCACATCTTACATGCCACACACATCTTTCTTGGAGACTCTGCCATCTTTACTGGTCAAACTGGCCTTTTCTTGGTTCAAGGAGGTGGTGGGGGGGAGGGAGGAAAACACTACCATAAATATAATGTTTAGGACTCCACCATTCTTGGACACTGGGTCCTCTGTGAATCCTCCTCAGTCACTTTTCACTACTGTCCTCTGTCGGCTGCTGTTCCTCCTGTTGGGCACCTGGGTCCTCTGCAGTCGCCTTCTGAGTTGTGTTGAGCAAGCCTACTTCTCCCAGAATCCTCCTCAGTCACTGTTGCTGTCTGTTGAGCAGTTAAGAAGGGGCCTTTAACATGCGCTAATACCCCTGGTTATGCAACTTGCTGCTCCCTATTGAGAATCTTGCCTCAACACCCAGAACTTATTGTTCCTAATATCAAGATTGGCCTCATTGGACTTCTCACAGGATTCTGCCACATTTCACCACCACAGCCCATGTCATTTAAGGCACCTATAAGATTCTGCCCACTAACTCTGTTTCTCTCTCCTTGGGGCTGCCACACTTCCTAAGGTTTTCCTGCACTTTATATTCTGTTTCAGCTTCCTATAGTGTAGGGCTTTCTCAGTGACAATATTCTTTCTGGAGTACAATCATGATATTATTCCAGCCATCTCGCCAATTGTTTTTTGATGTTGGTCATGATAACCTTTGCCTTTGTTTTTCAATGGAGCACTGTTCTATACTGATGGACCTTGTTGCCTTTTTGCTCCCTACTTACCCTTCTGTCTTAAAGGACATCCTAACAAATTTTCTGAAGAAGGGTCCCGACCTGAAACATTAACTTTCCTGCTCCTCTGGTACTGCCTGGTTCACTGTGTTCCTCCAGCTCCACACTTTGTTATCTCAGACTCCAGCATCAGCAGTTCTTGCTCTCTCTAACAAAGTTGTAATTGGTAATTACTAATGCAACATCTGGCAATCTGGTGAACTTTAATTTGAGCAGCTTTTAGTGCATTCAAAGTCTTCTGATTTGGATCTCTCTTGTAGTTTAATGAGAGTGGGACTTGGCTTCAATTTCAGGTCCATACAAGTGGTGTTAGCCTTTAACCATGCAGCATTTTTCAAACCCAGCTTACCATTTGCTGGAAGCATTATTGTAGATGGTGTTGTCGAAGAATGTTCCATTTCGTCTTTGCACTCCATGTGAGAATGCCAGACAATGACTGTTCAATCAAGCTGAGAAACTGTTAGTTCCTACCTGGATATGCAGTATGGCTGACATTAACAAGAGTACAACACCTTTGTTTTGAATGAAAAACCTTCAAAGGCTGCTTCCTAACCTTGATTCACATCAGGGAGTGGTCTGTATCACAGTCAATGGTGTGCTAACTCAGTGTGGTGAGAATGCAGTTGAAAGAGTCACCTCTGGAGGTGACCGGATCCAGCTAGTGCCAATATCCTGATCGTTGATAGCCCCAGGACATTGTGGCATGGCTTGTTCTGAAAGAAAGTGGTCTTTGCACAAAACCTGTGGTAGCAGCAACGTTTGAATATTCTCTGTCTTGTTTTTGATATGGCCATTGTATATGACAGAATCACAAATGCGCTGTTTCTCACCCATGTCAAAATCTACAAAAGTGCTCAAAAAAATTCTTCAAAATGCCCAAAGTTCATTCATATCTGAGAGGCTCTTCTAACCTCTCCCTAATATTGATGACATTGATTACAAGTAGAAATAAATTGGCCTTGAAATAACCCTCTTTTCACTTCAAATCTTTGACCTCCATAGCATTTTTCCAGTTAATATTATCACTTTGATCAATGATTCACTGAACTTTCTGTCTACTTCCTCCATCGCCTAATATAAATTCGCTCACATACTCTCCCATCCTTATTGTGTTGAAACCAAACTTTTTTGCTTGGGTTTCTATTATGCCTCAGTGTTCTCCAGAATCTCGAGGCTGGTTCTCTTTTACCTCTTTCAACTTCACCTTTCTCCTCCTGTGACACAACTTTTAAAGTTGGCATTAGGAAACAATTGCACCTGATTTACATTGTCTTCAGTCCTCACTTCAGCCTTGGTGCTATCTTACAGAATGGGCTTACATCCTTTAGTTACATTTCTTAACTTAAAAATATAGCATTTTGCTTTATCAAATTTGGTTCTTGGAGTAATCTCAATGTATCTGAAAACCAGTATTAACCAAGTCATGCACTGCAGTGCTGCTGTATGTACTTTAAGGACATGCAGACTTACAAGCAGACATGTCAATTCTACCCTTGGGTAATATTCATAAATTTTAATTGGTGTTTGAGCAAGATTATTGAGAGCAACAGAAGGCTCCCTCGAGTCCTCAGGGAGTCATTTTACAGTTTGAATGAGTGGAACACAGCCCTGCAATAAAACAATTTTCTAATGTAATTTTGAGGTGATTCAATGCTAATATGGGTAAGTAAATCCATACATTAAAACTAGAACATACAGCCAGAATCAATTCAGAATAGGCAATTTTGTGAGTGTAGATAACAGAGATTAACAGACAATTCCCTCACTTATTATTCTTGCATAGAATAATGGTAACGTGAATAATTGAAAGGCTGTTGTAAACCACGAAAGCAAAGGTCAGGCAGTTTACAGTGAATTATTTTAATTCTGGCAGAGGATTTGTGATTTTTTTCATTTCTTGTACTCGCCATCATCTGTTTTCTTACATACTTCATCATCTCTGTTAACATGAGAGTAGAAATTTTTCTGGGCATCATGTTTATCGTATTAATTTATAATAATGAACTCAGTCTTTTGTTTCTCAGTTTAAACAATGAAAAGGGCGGAGCCAGAACGCCTTAAACCTTATCAACACGGGACCCGCTCTCGGTTTGAAGACTAGTGTAGCTCGAGAGAGAGGTGTAACAGATTCTGCATGGAGTAGTGAGCCCCACAAGGAGAATTCCAGATAAAAAAGATGACAACAATTAAAAATTTCAATCATCTTCCTTGGTAAGGGGGCAAATGGTTTTGTCTGGATGAAGGATGCACCTTGTTAATGTCATAACCCTATCGAAGTTCACATTGATTGCCATAAAGGTGGTGTAAAAGAGAGGTCTTTCAATAGATTGTGCACTATAGAAGTACTATAATAGAAGTATAATAATTCTCTGTCACTTATATAAAGTATAATAGAAGTATATATATACACATATAGTATAATAGAAGTAATACAGCTTCCAGCTGTACTTTCAATAGAAGTACAGCTGGAAAAGAGAACAGGTACAAAATGTTGGCAATGCTCAGCAGGTCAGGTAGTATCTATAGAGAGAAATGTTTCAGGTTGAGATCTGAAGTTTGAAGGCGTGAGGACAATAGTTTGCACATGGCTATATGAGCTGGAAAAGAAAGTGGGAAATGCCAAGAGTAAATTGCTAATGGTTGGGCAAGGGAGATCACAGTTGGATTCTCCAGCATCTGCAGTTCCTACTATCTCGGAGATCACAGTTAGTTTCTGATTCATTTTGAACATCGTAGTATTTAACATTGGTTCAGCCATGATCTATTTGGGCAAACTACCTTTTTTTTCCACACAGAAGCATTTAGGGGAGACAGCCCACTTGCACTGCAGCACCTGAGTGCAGTCAAAATTGACACATTGAGCAGGTTTGAGCATAAAATGTAAAGAAAACATGAAAGTGAAGATAAGTCTATTACTTGAAAGCTAGGAACTCTGTTGGAAATGCAAGTTTTTATAAGACGATTGTAAGAATATTGTTTGCAGGTCAAAGGAGCTAAGGATAGACAATGACCCAACAGAATACTAATGAAAACTATTAATATTTATTAGTTACAAACTATACACAGAAGCACAGTACAGCTTTATTCCACCAGAACTCTGTTCCATGATCTGACTTCATCATGACGTAACTCAACACTGCTTTTGGAAGAAGTGTCACACCAGGCTTGAAACATTAACTCGGTTTTCCTCTCTCTCCTCAGATGCTGACAGACCTGCTGAGCTTCTGCAGCGTTCTCTGTGCTTGTTGCAGCCTTTTCCCTCTGCACATCTGCCAAAATGAAAGGTGATAAAAGTAAAACTGACAAACATTCCATGCAAAATGGCAAAATTACAAAAAAAGCAACAGATCTGTCTAGTAAGCCAGAGCAGCTATGAACTACATTCTTATCGGTGTGGGAAAGACTGTTTCAAAGAGTATTTCACCTTGAATTTCTCTGAAGATCAAGACAAGATTACAATTAATGGTACCCAAGGTTAAGTACATAGGTTATGTACTGACTGCAAAAGACCTTCAACCAGACCCCGAAAAGTTGAGAGCTGCAGCAGTGATCAGCAATGGCCAGATGTAAAAGCAATGCGACAATGTTTTGGGTTTGACATCTATTTGACAAAATTCTTTCCCAATTTGTCTTTGGGGTGTGAATGATTATGCCAAGACACAGCCAGGGACTTGCAGTGGTACTGGGGTATGGCAAAAGAAACAATGATCACTAAAATTGATGAACTAGTGATGTTGATGCTAGTGCTGATTACTCCTGTTTAAATGATATAGTCGCCTGCAGTGTGACACGAGGAGAAACCCCAAATCAGTAAGTGCAACTGGATGCATTTGAATCTGGGACATTAACACGAAGAAAATTACACTACTCTCACATTGAGGAGGAGTTCCTGGTCATTGTCTTTGTTTATGAACATTTTCATCCATCCCTACTTGGAAAAGTTAAAGTGACTATCAAATCCAACCACAAGTCATTTTCCTCAAAACCACGGCTGACTGCTCCAAAGCATCCTCAAGGATTGCTATTCCAATTATAATGAAATCATCTGGATATGACACAAAAGGAAATGAAGCACATCGACACTGCAGACATGCTGACAAGAGCAGCACTCCCCATGAGGAATGTACAAGATGCTACTACAGTGTGAAATCTTCCAGATCCAACATGAAGCAACAGCTCAACATGCAAGTCATCAACCTAGGTGGGCAGATCAGTGGCAGATGGAATTTAACCCTGAAAAGCGTAAGGTGATGCACTTTGGAAAATATATCAAGACAAGGGAGTACTCAATGAATGGCAGGACACCAGCAAGCTCAGAGAAACAGAGGGATCTTAGAGTTGCAGTGGGAGAGAGATCCCCTGAGGTTTGTCCGGAAGGAGGAGGGTAACTTCTTCAGGCTAGGCATCCTTAAAAGAGGCTTCGCAGTGGGGTTAAAATTGAATCAGAGATAGTAGGAACTGCAGATGCTGGAGAATCCGAGACAACAAGGTGCAGAGCTGGGTGCCTGCTCCTATGATGCTGCTTAGCCTGCTGTGTTCATCCAGCTCTGCACCTTGTTGTCTCGGATTCTCCAGCATCTGCAGTTCCTACTATCTCGGGATCTTAGAGTGCTTGTCCACTGATCCCTGAAGGCAGCAAGACTGGTAAGTAGGGTAGTTAAGAAGGCATAGAGGGCACTTGCTTTTATCAGTCATGGCATAGATTATAAGAGCAGAGAGGTTACGTTGGAGATGTACAGGATGTTGTGAAGGCCACATCAGGAGTTCTGGTCACTGGAATATAAGAAGGATGTGATTGCATTCAAGGTGGCATAAAGGAGATTCACCAGGATATTGTCTGGGATGGGGCAGTTCAGTATGAAGCGAGGTTGGATAAGCTCTGGCTGTTTTCTTTACAGCAGAGAAGGCTGAAGGGAGTCCTGATTGAAGGGTGTAAGATTATGAGGGGCAAAGACAGGGTGGATAGAAAGCAGCTCTCCTTCTTAGTTGAAGGATCAACAATAAGGGGTCTGAATTTTAAGGTGAAAGGCAGGACATTCAGAGGGGACTTAAGGAAAAGTATTTTCGCTCAGAGGATGGTGTGAGTATGGAATGCACTGCCTGCAACGGCAGTTGATGCAGGAAACTTCCCAAATTTTAAAGAAAGTACTTGCTTCAGCACTTGAAAATTAATAACATTCAAGGTTATGGGCTAAATTCTGGAAAGCGGGATTGATGTAGATTTAGGGTAGTTTTTGTGTAGACTTGAAGGGCTGAAGGGCCTCTTCTGTACCGTATGATTCTAAGGTGGTACATTGTACAAAGGAAATAAAATGATTATTTCTAAGGGGTTGAGAGGAGAGATACTAAAGTACTTCAATGTAAGGTGCTGAGGAATTGAGTCCAGACTGAGGAAAGAAAGAGATTTGCTTTACTGGTTAAACATGAACAACAAAATCAAAGACCATAGCAGCCAGTGCTTGCAATGAGTACCAGGCAAAGCAAGATAGAAAAACACTGATGATAAATGACATGCCAGACAGATCTGAGATAAAACTGGGAGTAGACCTCTTCCGATTATCCTGTCGCCATCAGCTGCTTTTCCGATTTTGCAGACTACTGGGAAAGGTGGACCAGTCACCTATAACAACTACAGCTAAGATTGTCAAAAGCATCATGCAGCCACAAAGACATTCACAGGACATTGTCATCAGAGGCAATGGCCCACGGTTCACAAGTGAATCGCTCAGCTGCTTCATCAAAAAGTGAAAAATGCAACACCAATTATCACCTCCACTCTGTCCACACTCAAGTGGAAAGGCTGAAAGAGGCAGTGAAAATCATCAAGGGAATCATAAAGAAGTAAAGCAAATCCATCACAGATGTATGCAAGACAATTTCAAGTTGAAATTTCAATCAATAAACAAACCTATGGAAGGCACGAAAGTAGCCCAGTACAGAGAATAATGTAACATTGTACACAATCTTAAAACAGCGAAAAAGACTGCCACACCATTGCCAGAGGTGAGCATACACACAGCTGAAGAAGTTCCTCAGCTCTAGTTGGCTGATCAGGAAGGTATGAACATGACAGTCGCACAGTCCACAGATCAACCAGCAGAACAAGACCATCAGACCCAGACCATCAGACAGAGACCGTCAGACCCAGACAATCAGACCCAGACTGTCAGACCCAGACTGTCAGACCGAGACCGTCAGACCGAGACCGTCAGACCCAGAC